CTCCTCCTCCTCCTCCTCCTCCTCCTCCTCCTCCTCTTCATCTTCTTCATCTTTCTCACCATGGCAGTCATTAGATATCCACCAAAATTCTGGGTCTTCTTCTTGCAGGATGCTTCTTCCAATGTTTGCAGGTTGGGATATTCCAAGTTCTCTTCATGTACAGAAGCCCTGTGATTTGGCTTGGCAAATGAGGAATTAACAGGTATGACATGTCACTCATGGGCAGAAGAAAGAAGAGTCAGTGTGCAGTTCACCAAGTTCCCTTACCTAGCCCCAGGATCTGATGGATCCCCAAATGGAGTTTCCACTAACCTGCAACTCTTTGTAAAGACAATGTGCCATGGAGTCCCCTGTGCTTGCAAGAGCATTTAGAATGAGTGGGAATTCTTCAGCTGTGGTGTAGCCTGGCCTTCTTGATTAATGTACTTAAGAGAGTAACATCTTTTCTTCTGGGAGACACTAAGAAAATTCTTCCCCTGAGTGGAAAAAAAAGCAGATTTCTACATCTGATGAAAAAAATAATCAGAAATCTGAACGTCATCTTATTAGTCAAGTTATTCCTGGGGTTCACAACATCATTTCGAAAACCTTGAAAAGAGAGAAAGAAATGAATCGTAGAACTAATTAAAAGGAACCTCAAATCCTTGCAGAGCCCCACAGGACTTTCCAAGAGCCAGTTTGCCTACTTGCAGACACACCATGAAGTGAATTCCTTACGGTTTGACTGGAAAAGATTTTCCTAGCAATTCCACAGGGAAATAAAGAAACCTTTCTCTGGACTGGAAAGATGACTCAGCCATTAATATTGCTGCTCTTGCAGAGGACCAGAGTTGGGTTCTCAGCACCCACATTGGGCTGCTCACAACCACTTGTAACTCCAGCTTCAGGGATTCTGACACCCTCTTCTGGCCTCCATGAGTACCAGTATACAGGTGGCAGATGTTCACACACGCACACATACATATACATAAATAAAAATAACAAATTTTTTAAAAAAGATTTATTTATTTATTTATTATGTATACAGCATGTATGACTGCAGGCCAGAAGAGGGCACCAGATCTCATTATGGATGGTTGTGAGCCACCATGTGGTTGCTGGGAATTGAACTCAGGACCTGTGGAAGAGCAGTCAGTGCTCTTAACTTCTGAGCCATCTCTCCAGCCCATAAAAAATAACAAATCTTAAAAAAAAAAAAAAAAAAAAAAAAAAAAAAAAAAAAAAAAAAAACATTTCTTTCCCCATTACATTCACTTCTGTAATTTCGAGTCAACAAAAGTAAAAATACTTAGCAAGTCAAGTCTTTTGTTGTTGTTGTTTGTTTTGTTTTGTTTTGTTTTTGTCAAGACAGAGTTTCTATGTGTTACAGCTCTGGTTGTCCTGGATCTCGCTCTGTAGACCAGGCTGACCTTGAACTCACAGAGATCTGCCTGCCTCTGCCTCCCAAGTGCTGGGATCAAAGGCGTGCGCCACCACTGCCAGGCTGCCAGTCAAGTCTTTAAGGAACATCATCTTGAGCAAGTTAACCCTTCCAGAATTTAGTTCCTCATCTCATGCTATGGACTAAATGTTTGTGTTCCAGTCACCAATCATATGTTAAAACCTTGGCACCCCACCCCTTATAAGCTGGTACTACCTCCCAAATACAGCAAACATATCAAACAGGCTGCCATCTGCAGGACAGGAAGAAGAGTTGTTTCCCAGTGGAGGGACCAAGTTTGAGATTCACCAGTCATGATTAGGCACAAGTTCAGCTGTAACCCCAGAGCCAGAGCAGAACCTAACAAATCTAGCATTGAACTCGGACTCCTAAACCTCCAACCTGTGAGGACTAAATGTCAGTTAGTTAAAGCACCTGGTCTATGTTGTTTTGTTATAGCAGCCTGTACAGACCTCAACATCTAGAAAAACTAAAAACAATTAGATAAGATGATCTGCAGGCTAGCATTCCTCTCTAGCAAGCTGTCAATGGAGGTATTTGAGCGACAGCATTTCCAAAACCCAATACTGCTTTGTAAAGTGCTCTTTGTCTTTCCACACACCGACCCTGCATTCCAGAATAAGCAAGCGCCTCTCTTCTTCAGCTTCAGATTAATCTAAAGGTGAGCTATTAGAAAAACATGCAGACCAGGCAGTAGTGGCACATGCCTTTAATCCCAGCACTTGGGAGGTGGAGCCAGGCAGATCTCTATGAATTTGAGGCCAGCCTGGTCTACAGAGCGAGATTCAGGACAGGCACCAAAACTACACAGAGAAACCCTGTCTCGAAAAACCAAAAAAAGAAGAAAGAAAAAAGAGAAAAACAGACAGGATGGATATAAAGCACATAAAAGATCTGTCAGTTTCTAGCTTCTATACCAAATATATTTAAAGACTCTTTTCAGCTTTTCATGAACTGGTCACCTAAGAAAATTGCCAGGAAACTTTTGTGAGAAATAGTGGCTGTGTGACTAACCCCCTGGATAAAGCCATGGAGATTTTTTTCATCATCTTTGGAGTAGCATGGCTGACGGCCAACAATACAGCTCCTTTAATTTAGATAATAACTGAAAATTGGCAGACAGGTGCGCTTGCCTTGACTCCTGTCAACAGGAGAAGAAGCAAAGAGAAGCTTCGCCTGCACCACGTGGCTGCTGAGCTGAGGTTTGGCCACAGCCGCCTGTGAAATGAAGAGAGCTGCCTGCAACCGCAGAGGAGGGTAGAAAATACCCTGCCGTGGTGGAATCTGGTGGTGTGTGCCCTTAATCGCAGCACTGCAAAGGCAGAGGCAGGGGGATTTCTCAAGTGGAGGCCAACCTGGTCTACACAGCAAGTTCTAGGCCTGCCAAGGCTACATAAGGAGACCCTATCTCAAATAAAAAACAAAAAAAAAAGAAGGAAGGGAGGAAGGAAAGAAGGAAGGAAGGGGAGGGAAGGAGGGAGGGAGAGAGGGAGGGAAGGAGGGAGGGAGGGAGGAGGAAGGAAGGGAGGAAGGAAGGAAAGAAGGAAAGGAGAGAGGAAGGAAGGAAGGAAGGAACAAACGAACGAACGAACGAACGAACGAACGAACGAACGAACGAACGAACGAACCATGCAATAGGTCAAAGGTCAGCAAGTGCTGAAGCCGCTGAAAACCTGGACCTTCTTGTTGATGCAGCTCACATCAGCCTGTGTGACTGCAAACTGCCAGAGCTTCCTAATTGAAATGTAAGTCTCTTGTGGAAGAAAACTACCCCTGTTGGGTGGACACTTAAACTTAGCCATAGACAGATGCCTTTTTATAAAGATTCTGTTAATCAACTTTGGTTATTTTTATTAATTAATTAATTAATTAATTAATTAATTAATTAATTTTATTTTTGAGACAGGGTTTCTCTGTGTAGCTTTGGATGCTTTCCTGGAACTCACTCTGTAGATTAGGCTGGCCTTGAACTCAGAGATCCCCTGCCTCTGCCTCCTGAATGCCGGAATTAAAGGCGTGTGCCACCACTGCCCGGCCCTTAACTTTATTTTTTATTTTTTATGTAGCCATGCTGGCCAGGAATGTCAGCTCTGCCTCTGGAATGCTGGAAATACAACTTGCCTGTGCACTATATCAAGCTTTTTGTTGTTGTTGCTGCTGCTGCTGCTGCTGCTGTTTTAAAGGTTTGTTTTTATTTATGTGTCCATGTTTGTGTGTGGTGGTATTATGTTCCCCAAAATATTGTGTACCCTAATAAACTTATCTGGGGTCAGAGAACAGAAAAGCCACTAGATACTCAGGCTAGGCAGTGGTAGCACACGCCTTTAATCCTAGCATTCCAGAGGCAGAAATCCATCTGTTCAAGGATACAGCCAAGCATGGTGACTCACGCCTTTAATCCCAGAAAGCGAGCCTTTAATCCCAGGGAGTGGTGGTAGAAAGCAGAAAGATATATAAGGCATGAGGACCAGAAACTAGAAGCATTTGGGCTGGTTAAGCATTTGGCTAGTTAAGCATTTGGCTGGTTAAGCATTTGGCTGGTTAAGCTTTTAGGTTTTGAGCAGCACAGTTCAGCTGAGAGCCATTCAGATATGAGGACACAGAGGCTTCCAGTCTGAGGAAACAAGATCAGCTGAGGATCCGGCGAGGTGAGGTAGCTGTGGCTTGTTCTGTCTCTCTGACCTTCCAGTTCACCCCAATAACTGGCCCTCAGGTTTGATTTTATTAATAAGAACTTTTAAGATTCCTGCTACATTGTGTGTATACCCTGTGTGTAGGGGCAGTTGTGAGCCACCCCATGTGGGTGCAGGGAACCAAACTCTCAGGTCCTTTGAAAGAACAGGAAGCCCTCTTCACAGCTGAGTCATCTCTCCAGGCCCTGTTGTTTCGTTATAGTTTTATTTATTTAGTGTGTGTGTGTGAATGCACATGAGCGCGCGCGTGCACACACAAACACACACACACACACACACACACACACACACACACACATTGCAGTCAGAGGAGCTGGTTCTCTCCTTCTACTATGTGGGTCCCAGGGATTGAACTCAGGTCGTCAGGCTTGGTGGCAAGCTCCTTCACCCACTGAGCCATCTCAACCGCCCAATTCTGTTTTGTGGTTTTTGTTTTTGTTTGGCTTGATTTTGGTAATTTTTTTTTTTAAAAGACAAGTTCTACAAGTTTTCCTGGTAAGCACCAGGCCTAGCAGTTTCTACTTTGTCCTTCCTTTATGTTGACATATTTTTCTCTACCAGGTTTTACTTCTTGAGACAGGGTCTCGAGTAGCCCAGACTGTCCTAAAGCTGACAGTGACCTTAGACTTCTGGTCCTATTGCCCACGCCACCAGAGTGCTGGGTTTGCAGGTGTGCACCGGCACACAGGATTCGAGCCACACTGGGTAGCAAGCCCAGAGCTTCTTCCATACTAGGCAAGCACTCTGCCAGCTGAGCGCCCTCTGCAGCCCCATCTCACCCCCACCACACACCTCTAAAGGAAGAGTATTCAGGAAGCACACAGATTTCAATTTATATTACCTTCAGCATGTTAAAACTTAGGATTATGGATAAATGATCTTAATTTTTATTAAGATTTTATTTATTAAGAATTAATAGTTAATCGCTTAAATAAACTAAGGAACAACTGGGGAGGCTGGCAGTGGTGGCGCACGCCTTTAATCCCAGCATTCAGAAGGCAGAGGCAGGTGGATCTCTATAACTCCAAGGCAAGCTTGGTCTACATAGCAAGTTCCAGGCCAGCTGGGTAGACAAATGATATCCTCAAAAAATTAATAAATTTCAGCATTAAAAAAAACTATGACAATTATAGATCACTATCAGCATCAATAAGCAGATGACTCTAGCTATGATTAACTTTTTAAGATCTGATCCAAATGAAAATACTGTTTTAAAATTCTTATTCAACCAGGGGCTGAGGATGTGACTCCAAAGGTGGTAGAGTGCTTGCCTAGCACACCCCGAGGCCCTGAGTTGGATCCGCAGCACCACAAACCAACAAGAAAACAGCCACCCACCTAGGAACATCCCACTACTGAAATATATTTCAGATACCACTGAAGTATACAGTTATAAATGTCAAAAAAAAACAATAAATGTTACCCATATATTTTATCACTACCAAAAGTACTTTTTCAGGGGACTGGAGCGATGGCTTAGCAGTTAAGACTTAATTACGTTAACACTGCTCTTACAGAGGACCCTAGTTTGGTTCCTAGCACACACTCAGGGCAGCTTGCGGCTGCCTATCCCCGAAGCTCCAGAGAGAGCTAACGCCTCTGGACTCCAGGCACCTGCACTCTGATGTACATATCCACACACCACAGCTTAAAAGTTTTTAAATCATATATACATATATGTGTGTGTGTATGTATGTGTGATTTATATCTATTATTTTATATATTTGTGTATAAGACATTTATTTATATATAAAATACACACACGCATCCCTTCACCCCCTCCCAGCCAGTCTTGTAAATCTAGCTGCTCCAGGAGCTAAAGGAAGAAGAACAAGAGAAGAAAGGGGAACAGGAGGAGGAGGAGGAGGAAGAAGAAGAGGAGCAGAAAGAGGACGATTGAAAGTTCAAGGCCTGCCCGGGCTATGAATTACATTCAAAACCAGCCTAGGCAGCTTAGTGAAACCCAGTCTAAACAAAAAAAAAAAAAGAAAGGAAGAGAGAAAGAAAGAAAGAAAGAAAGAAAGAAAGAAAGAAAGAAAGAGAGAGA